GATAATCTTATTCATACCAGAAGATGTTTCATTCAACTAATATTATTGACTATGTCTCAAGCAGCTCTAATTTCAATATGTAATGTTATTGACAGGATTTATGAGCTAGTCCAATCAAACTGACTCTCAGTGGTTTACAGTTCCTCAGATCTATACTATGGGTTAAGAACAGAACAGAAAAATAGAGATTAAAATAACGTAATCAAAACACAATCCAAAAGAAAAACCACAAGTCATAATACAGCCATATCTAAACTGGCAATCTAAATATTCAAGAACCCAAACTCACTGAACAGAGAAATAATCAGACTTCTGATTTTTTGGTCACAATGACCCAGTAAGTCTTGAAGTCTTTACACACCTTCTGAAGGTAAGGAGGAAAGTGGACATTCAAATATATCTGGAGGGAAGATACTATTAGATTGTGTTAAATCTTCTGTTAGTTCACGAGCTATGACTGTTGCTGCTGTGACAATCACTGTTATTATCATTGCTAAACTACCATTAATATTTTTGGGTTACCAGATATGAAATCAGCAGCAACAGCATCCCAAATCAATTTATTGTAGGATGAAGGCCTCTTTACTGAGGTTTATAAACTGTTATCTTCCATGCTAGTCCAGTGCAAGTTGCTTGATAGATGTTGTTTGACTTCCCAGTCTAAGTCTGAGAGAGAGCAACTTACCCAAACACCCAGAAGGCTTCCATCCCAATGGGATAACAGGAACTTGGGTCTCCCTGCTCCTAATCCAGGACCTTAACCATTAAACCACACTTGCTCTCATAATATCCCTCTTTGTCTTTTTCTGTCTCATGATTTAAGAAATATTTATCATTGCATGAATAATTACAGATTGTTCCAATAGTGCTAAGTCTGAATTTATAAATGTTTGTAAAACCCATCTTTATTCAAGCTACACCCACTAGTACTTGTAGTAGTAATAAAAAAGTATCATTTACATGTTTCCAAAGATGTTTTAGATAAGTCTGCTTGAAACTGGCATTCACTTTCTTAGTCCTCTATTTCTCAATTGTGAAGGATAACCAGACTGATAGCCTGTACTAAATAAATAAATAAATGCCCATGATCATATAGTACATCTTATGCTTTATACTACCTAACTTGAATTCAGTATTGAATTTATTTAAATTATTAAAGGAAATGTTCAATAAAAGCACTGTTGTTCTACAGGTGAATGTTTGAAGGAGCTCTGATGTCAACATGCTATCTATTCCACAGTGTTCTAATTTTTATTACAAAAACATAACCTCTTCCATTCATCCAAAAGGAGCAGATGTCTTTTTATTTGAGAACACTGTTGTGGTTATGAAGAATAAACCACAATGCCATCCAAACCAAAACCTATGCATCAAATTTCATTGACCATCTATTATCCTCACAAATAAGTAGAACTGAATATTAAAAATTTGCAAAAAAAAAAATTGTTTATTTCAATTCTCACTTTAAGAAGCAGGTCTATTGCTAAAGTTGGGAACTCTGAGATTTATTGATGCCTTCTTTATTTTCTTTGAATAAACTCACTTTTAGTGACACTTCCTCTCAAACTTAGTAATGTTATCAGAGAAAATATACAGCGTGCATTCAAAAAGATATGCATTATGTCACTGAAAAATTAAAATCAGTGACTAAAGCTATTACTTTTGTTTTTAAAAGGTGGAGAATAATTCCATGATTTTTCACATTAGAATCAGGGCTTGGTTTATCCAGACATTAAAATCATCATCATCATCATCATCATCATCATCATCATCATCATCATCATCATCACAAAGAATTCACATCCAAAGGGAGCTCTGGAATCTATCCAGAGTAACTTCTATCTGCCAGTCATCAGGGTGTTATGAGTAAACTGTGAAAATGTTAACTCACTAACTAGGGACTCAAAACACAAGAGAGCTCATTAAAATGTTGGGTAGGTAGGCAGATAGAAATATGCTTGATATTCCTAAATCAGTCCCATTAGAGAAATATTCTATTCACAAGATTTGTAGTTGTTGTATGCAAGTCCTCATATAGCCATGTATCATATCTGCTCATGAGAGAGAATCAGCCTAACTAGTTGCTGGATTCAAGAGGCTGTGTTCCATAAGTTTGGTGTGATGAAGCCTTGATGACCAGGCTTCTGATAGCAGGGAGCTCTTTAGAAGGGCTGTTCCTCAGAACTTAATGTCTAAATGAGCTCATAGTAGGACAGAATATTCCTTAAGAAACAGTGTAATTAAAATCTTAAATTAGGCCAAGAAACAGTTGGCAAATACTAAAGATATCTGTATCACCTGATGTCAGTATAGTACAATGGTTAGAAAATCTGGAAGTCACTTTCTAAGAAGTTTGCCTTGGAGCCTACAGACTGCTAATTATCCCTTTGGCTGGCCTCATTAGCCTTCTTAATACTTCGATTCTGCCTAACTGCATTGATCAAATACTGTACCATTGGATTTTGGAGGTGAACAACACCTCACAAGAGAGGGGGTCATGCTTGCCACTTTGAAAGAGGTTCTGAAGAAGCACCTCCAATTTGGTCTCTGGACTACTGCCAATTTCCAGTTTTACCTTTTTAGGGCAGGTCATTGAGAAAATGGTAGGAGGGCCTTGGTGCAGAGTGCCTTAGTGGAAGCAGTTTATCTAGGCCCCTTTCACTCAGGCTTCAGTCTCCGAATCAGTGTTAAAACAGCATTAGTTACTCTGACTAATTGCCTTCATCAGGACCTGGAAGGTGGAGTGCATGACTTCTCATCCTTTTAGATCTCTAGCAGCCTTCAGTTCCATCCATCATTGTATTCTTCTGAGGCTCTTGTGAGGTTTAGGAGTTGGGACATTATTTTATAACTGTTTGACTCCTTGTTGAGTTGACAGTACCATTTTGTGGTATAGAGGGATCAATTGTTCCTATATGGGATACTACTTCTCTACCTTGTCTCTCTCTTTCTGTTCTCTCTGTTCCTCTACATAAAACCACTGGGAGTGGCCGTAAGTTTGGAGTGAAGTATCTTTGATACATTGTTGACACTCAGAGATATACCTCCATTCTGTGCTGGACCAAATATGCTGTAGAATTCCTGATCTGGTGTCTGGAGGCTGTGAGGTATTAGGTAGGAAGAAACAAGCTGAAATGGGATCCCTGCATTGATTGGAGTTGCTGCTTATCTAGAAACCAGCCCCTCACTTGATCCAGATCTTTTTTAATCATCAAGCCCATAAATCATCACATCATTCTTTTTTCCATAAAGTCCATATAAGGTTTCCAGTCTTTCAAAAAAGTTTTGTTGTTTTTGCTCTGACCAGACAGGTCAGCTTTGCCATCTCAGACGTTTTCACAATCCATTCATTCCTCCACTGTGGAAATTGTTCTTCCATTGCTGAGCATACAATAATCTTACTGCAGTTACCATATGCAAAATAAATTTGCCATGAGTCTTTTCTAATTCATTATCCATGAATTATCCTAGATAATTATCCATTATCCTAATAAAAATAGTTCTGGTTTCTTCACAATATTATAATATAATATTAAAATCCTTTGCATTGTTGTATCAATTTGTATCCAAAATTTCTGAGCTTTCTCTCAAGTCCACCATGCATGATAAAATGTCTCCTCATGTTTTTCACATTTCCAACACTGGTTTGAAATACCTTTGCACATTTTTTAATAATTTCTCTGGTGTCATATACCAGCGATATATAATTTTATAAAAGCTTTATTTTAAGTTATGACACAGTGTGAATTTAATACTAGTTACCCGTATCCTCTCCTAAGTAACCATCTGTATATTACTGCAATGTGCTTTTCACTGGACTATTAATTAGTACCAACTTTAGTTCTCAGTGGGGAAGCAGATCTGCAACTTTGGAGTTCTCCTGGAGTTACAGATCCTGCTGGAAGAGCAGATAGAGGCCATGACTGGGATAGGCTTCACCCAGTTTCAGCTGCTGCACCAATGCCATTGTAATCTCACACATGTCAGGTTCAGCTCAGCTCAGCGCACACCTGACAGCTAGCTGCCATTCCACCCAACTAGTTCCAAGCGCGCCTGGTCAGCTTCCTTGCCTCAGGTGCAGGCGAGCAAAAGAGGAAGCCCTAACCGCAACTTAACTACTGGCAGGTGGCGGTAATTAGCCTGCAGCAAGGATTCAATTACCTTGTAACAAGCAGGACTTCCCCCAGCCACCACAGGCATGCAGCAGACAATAGCAACAAAGAGCCCTGCAGTTCAAGCCATGATCAACCACCCATCAAGCACAATCGTGGGTCAGCCACATGGGATGGGACCTGCCTCCTGAGCAAGACAGCCAAGAAACAAAGGACCCTGAATGAACCTGCCATCAAACTGAGGGGGGGAGAGAGCTGGGAGCGAGGGGCAGGGGTGGTATCAGGCGGGACTCGCAAAGCATGGGAATGGGTTGCCTATAAAATGATATGTAATCTGTGCCAAGCCAACCCTGGCTTTGTTTGTATCTACCCGCATTACACCTGAGTAAACTTCTTTGACTGAATCTATGTTTCGTGAGAGTTTCATTCAGCGCTGAATGTGGCAACTCTTACAACACACAGATTACTGTAAATTGCTTTGAAAACTTCAACTGGTACAAAACGCAGTAGCCCATACACCCATGAGGCACTTGTGTTACTTCAATAAAGCTCCACAGTTATGGGAGCTGCAGGTGAAAGCCATTACAACCAAGTACAACTGAAGTTGTGGGTGCTAATTGGCTTCTGATGAGCTTCCAAGTTCAGGTCAAAGTCTCTCCCCATTTCAGGATTCATCTGAATTTTGCCCACCATCCAAATATCGGCCTCCATTGGATTTTGGAGTACAGTTCCCCATTCATTACTCTCCTAATTTCAGCACTGGTCAGATTTTTACCTTGGAAAAATTCATGAAAAGTGTTGAAAACATAGAATAGTCTACTGTTTCATTGGACTCCGTATTTAATTTTATTAAATAGAGCTCTATGAATAGTAATAGATGTACTGTTTTTATTCTGACTGAATTGTTTTGGATGACATCATCCTTCCAATCAATTTTCTGATACTCTTTTTCATTTCTGTATTTCTCAGTGTGAAAATTATTGGGTTTAGCACTGGAGTGATAGCAGTATACAAAAGAGAAGTGATTTTGTCTCCTGGAGAAATTTGGAAAGGGCGATCATAAATGAACATGGCAGGAATAAAATGTAAGCTCATGACTATGATTTGTGCCAAACACGTAGAGAAAGCTTTGCGCTTTCTTTCGGTGACATGCATTCTAATCTTCACCAGAATGACAATATATGACCCAAATAAGATGCAGAAAATCAGTGTGAGTAGCAGCCCACTATTAGAAGCCATCAGCAACTCTATAATGTATGTATCAGTACAAGCCAGTTTGATTACTTGTGGAACATCACAGTAAAAGTTGTCCAATATGTTGGGGCCACAAAAGGGTAGCTGAATGATTAAGGCTACCTGGACAATAGAGTGAGCAAAACCACCCAGCCAAGCTCCTGCCACTAAACCTGTGCAAACTCCTGGATTCATAATGAGCAAATATTGCAAAGGTTTGTAGATGGCTATGTATCTGTCAATAGCCATTACAACTAGGAAGAAAACCACAGCACCTCCAGTGCAGTGAAAAAAGAATACCTGGGTAATACACCAGTTGTAAGAGATGGAATTTGTATGAGAGATGAGGTCCCATAGCATTTTTAGTGCTGTAACTGTGCAGTCACTGATGTCTATCACAGCCAGGTTAGCCAAGAAGAAGTACATGGGCACGTGAAGGCTATGTGTGGAAATCACGGTCAAGATAATAGCAAGATTTCCAAGCCAGGTTATGATATATAGAGTAAGAAAGATGGAAAAGAGGACGAGCTGCATCTTTGTACTCTGAGAAAAACCCAAGAGAACAAATTCAGTCACAGTAGTATTAACTTTCTTCATAGCCATTTGATCTTTCCAATACTGCTGTAAGAAAAATAATAATGGTAAGAGCATTTATTACGTTTTTAAAGGTTTTGAAAAAAATGCTATGATTTCACTATCTCCATGCTTAATGTCTTTCTAACACCCATATTAAACATTTTCAGTTCAACGTTCAATCCTCTGTACAGTCACATTCTATTAGCCAGTGGGAAATGCACATCACATGTTATTTGATGATGAAATAAACTCATCAATTAAAAAAATAATATAATTAAATAAAAAGTAAGAACTGAAGCCATTAATTTATAAATATGCTTCTAAAATCCTGCGTAGTTGCTTTATTGTACTGAATGACTCTTTCATTTGCACAAACTGACAAAAATTTCCTAATTATTCTATGTATGATACTACTCTAGACATTCAAGAACATGGCTAAAATTAGATGCCAAGTCTTACATGTGTCTTCTATTAATGTAACCCCCCCCCCAGATGTGTCTTTTAATTATCTTTAACAAAAAAAAGTAATGATATCCTACCCTCCAGAACCAGGTTATCTCAGGGTAGCACAATATAATATATGAAAATAAACAATAAACATATAACATGAGATTCATGGGCTTTATGCATGGAGGAACAGTTATAGAGAGTGTTATTGCCAGTGTTTTGAAAATTTGGATGAAAACCTAAATTTAAATAATTTGAAAATAATATGAATTATCTTTTTTATTATTTAAAGGATTCAATTAGTTGTTAATTTTGTTTTTGCTTCTGCTAAAGAAAAAAACCCTGCCATACTTCTTTTTATTTGTATCCCATATATAATTCCCAACTTATAGAGGGGTTTGAATTAGATAGTCCTCTTTCCTTACCACATTATTAAACAATATAGGGTAAATGCTGGGATTAATTCCAAGTTCCTTTAACTTATCTTTAGTAACTTCAACCCAATCCATAGAGTGGGATATACTGTATGTCTTTTTTTCCCCCCTTGTTAGTATATATCTTCATGATTTACTTTAGGATTCAAAATCCATGGAATAATGATTAGTTAGTCTTTAACTGATATTCCATATTCCCACAGCTTTTAGTACCTGCCTGAGAAAGTGAGATTCCTGTACTTGGATTAATTACCCATGTAAGATGCTCAATTAATTATTAGGGTTCTCTTACCTATTCCAGTATGTTCATAGAAGAATTGTGATGGCTCTTAATTTTATAGTAGCTGAGTTTAAATTTTAGCAGGATTGTAGGTCCAGCAGTTCTCCAGTTCAGGATGATTTCAAATACTCTGCTAAAACTTGGCATACATCTTCATTCCTCATAGAAATATTGAGTCACTTTTATGCCTTTATTATAATATTTTTTCTATTGTCACTATCTAGAAATAGTGCAAATGTTTTTCAAAAGTTGTCAAATTACAAGGAAGTAGAAAGCAACTGTAAAAGTAATATGAAATCAACTTGAATATGTTCCTTTTGTAATCATACTATCCTTTAGCATGAGCCTCCAATCTACAAAGAGAAATAAATTGGGTAGAAGCAATACCTGAGTGAAAAATTTCTAAGCATTTTTTTTTATATTTGCATTGTAAAATATCAGTTCATTAAACAAGCTAAAAAGGATTGCACAGCAAGCAAAGAAGGTTGGACAAATATTCTGATTTTTTAAAAAGATTTAGGATTCTGCTCCAATGATGCTTTGAAAATCAGAACAAGGACACAGTTTCTAGATCCTACCAGATCCCCATTTCTCTGTTGAATTAAGTGCCTTCTTCCCAAATTGTTGTTTATTCCGGTATACTGCTATTGCTCCTTTGCTGACCAAACAGTTCCATATGCTGTCTCTCAGGGAAAAGTTAGCAATTGTCCTCTTCAGGGTATATACAAATAGTAAAGTAGCGCCTGTTTTCCAGTGGCATTGTGAAAACAAATATTGAGAGCCTGAACCCTTGTATTCCTTTTCACTGATTTCCTTCCTTCCTTCCTTCCTTCCTTCCTTCCTTCCTTCCTTCCTTCCTTCCTTC